GACTCCAGGATCATGACCTGAGCCGAAGGCAGTTGCTTAACCAACTGAGCCACCCAGGCGCCCTACAGTCTTTGTTTTAAAGTCTATTTTGTCTGATAGAAATATTGCTAACCTGGCTTTCTTTTCACTTCTATTTGCATGATAAATGTTTTCCATCCCTTTACTTTCAATCTGCTTGTGCCTTTAGATCTGAAATGAGTCTCTTATAGGCATATAGACGGACTTTTTAAAAATTTATTTTTATTTAAGTATTCTCTACACCCAACATTGGGCTCGATCTTGCTCTTTTTTTTTTTTTTTAATCCATTCCATCACCCTATGTCTTTTGATTGGAGCATTTAGTTCATTTACATTCAAAGTAATTACTGATAAGTATGTATTTCCATTTGTTACTTGTTTATGATTGTTTTTGTAGTTCTCTGTTCTTTTCTTTTACTCTCTTCTCTCATGGTTTGCTGGCTTTCTTTAGTGATGTACTTAGATTCCTTTTTATTTTTTTGCATATCTATTACTGGTTTTTGATTTGTGGTTACCATTAGGTCTACATGTAACATCTTATGCACATAGCAGTCTATTTTCAGTTGACGGTGGCTTAAGTTTGAACCCATTCTAAAAGCATTAAATTTTTATTCCTCTTCCTCCCACATTTTAGGCATATGGTGCCATAATTTACATCCTTTTATTTTGTGAATCCCTTGATTGATTTTTATAGATATGCTTAATTTTACTGCTTCTGTGCCTCCTACTTTTCTTATTGCTGCTTATGGTGTTTCCTTTTCACTCAGAGTCCCCTTAACATTTCTTGTAAGGCTGGTTTTTAGTAGTGATGAATTCCTTTAACTTGTATTTGTCTGGGAAACTCTCTCTCTCTTATTCTGAATGATAGCCTTGATGGATACAGTCTTCTTGGTTGCAGGTTTTTTTCTTTCAGCATTTTGATGATATCATGTCTCCCTTCTGGCCTATTTTCTGCTGAAAAACCAACTGATATCCTTACGTGGTTTCCCTTATAGGTAAGTTTCCTTGTGCTGCTTTATCACTAGTTTTTGCCATTTTAATCACTATGTCTTGGTGTGGACCTCCTTGGGTTGATTTTTTGGGGGGCTCTCTGTGCTTCCTGGATCTGAATTTGTGTTTTCTTCCCCAGATTTGGGAAGTTTTCAGCTACTATTTCTTCAAATAAAAATTTCTCCCCCCCCTCCACCTCTTTTCCTTTTTTGGATCTCTATAATGTGAATGTTATTATGCTTGATGGTGTGGCTGAATTCCCTTAATCTATTTTCATTTTTTATTGTTTTTTTCTCTCTCCTGTTCATTCAGCTTGAATACTTTCCACTACTCTCTTCTCCAGGTCATTGACCTGTTCTTCTGCTTCCTCCTGTCTACTATTTATTCCTTCTAGTGTATTTTTAATTTCAGTTCTCTGATTGGTTCTTTTTTATGTTTTCTTTCTCTTTGTTGAGGGTCTCCCTGAGATCCTCCACTCTTTTCTCAAGTCCAGCTAGTATCTTTATGGCCATTTCTTTAAATTCTCTATTAGATATATTATTTATCTCCATTTCCTTTAACTCTCTTGTGATTTTGTCTTGTCCTTTCATTTGGGACATATTCCTGTGTCTCCTCATTTTGTCTAACTCTCTGTGTCTGTTTCTGTGTGTCAGGAAAGTCAGCTGCATGTCCTCCTCTTGAAAGTCATGGACTTGGGAAGAAGAGGTCCTGTAATGCCCTGTGGTGCAATATCCCCTCTTTACCAGAACCTGGCACTTGAGGGGTGCCTGTGTGTGTTGTGTGTGCCCTACTATTGTGGCTGAGTTATATTTGCCTTCAGTCGAGTCATTTGCAATGGCTTTCTTTGTGTTTTGTGGACAGGGCTTGGTCCCTGTGCTATTAGTGAGCTAGTCTGGGGCTGCTTTGGGCTTGAGCTGAGTCACAGTACTGCAGGGCGCTTTCCTTCTGTTGTCCCCTGAGAAGCTTTCCTTGGTGGGTGGGGCCCCACTGCTGGGGCTGCAGTCAAATTGGTATGTGTGGTTTTCTTCCTTTCTCTTTGGGGCAGAAGTCACTTGAGAGTGGGCTGACCCCGGTCAGGCCTGCTTGCATACTGCCAGGCTTATGGTGCTGCTTTGGATGGACTCCTGTCAAGGGCATGTTTGATGGAGTGGATCTGCAGGAGAATATGGGGATAACGGGGGTGCGGTGCCAGCAAGGTCCCACCTGGTCTGCTGCAGGAGGGAACCTGCAGCCACCTAGGAAAACTCTTGCTAAGGCTGGGCTGGAGGGGGCAGTCTTCAGAAGGGGGTGGGGTGCAGGGTGCATTGTTAATAAGCTAGGTGAGAGTGGTCACATTGTGCTGGTTCTCACAGGTGCCCTTTTATCTAGGCTAGGGGGCAGGGAAGGGAAATGGTGGCTACCAGCTCTTTTGTTCTCGCTGAAGTCTCCCAAAGATCCCTGCCCCTCCAGCATATGCTCTGAGATTAGTGAACAAATCTCCCTCCCCTATATGCCAAGGATTTTTCAAACTGCTGCTTCTATGCTATATCTCCATGGGGCTGTTTGTTACATTGTCTCTTTAAGGGCAGGGACTCAGTTTCCTATCACCCTCCAGCTCTCCCTGGGGGTGGGCTCACTGATTTTTAACATTCCAGGTGTTAAGCCCCACTGATTGTAAGAATGCACGAAGTTAGGTCATATGGTTTTCAAAGCTAAATGTTAGGAGGATTCATCTTCCCAGTACAGGTCCCTTGTGCCTGGGGTGTCTGGACTGGGGTCTGCTCCTCTCCTCTTCCCACACCTGTGGGTCCCTCCTTCCTGCATACCGTCTCTTGGGCCAGTTTAGTTCCCGATCATGTTGTCGACCTTCCTACCATTTTTACTGTGGCCTCTTCTCTACATTTAGCTGTGGAGAGTCTGTTCTGCCAATCTTCAAGTCTTTTCTGGGTTATTTATACTGATGTGGGTGTTATATATGTGTATCTGTGGGATGAGGTGAGCCTAGGATCCTCCTACTCTGTCATCTTTCCCAGAAGTCCCGTGATCACTTTCCTACCATTTTTAAGTTGTCCTTTTCTTGATTCAGCATCTGCTTAGTTGTTAGAAACCTTTGACTTTTTCAAGAGTTCTGGCAAAGTTGGTTCTAATCGTTGCTGTTTGTTTTTCAGTGTTTCTGTGGAGGGACAGGAGTTTGGAGCTGGCCACTCTGCTATTTTGCTGATATCACCAACGCTAGTGGATGCCTCATTTCTTCTCTGTGTACATCTCTGTTCCCTTCACTGTACAAGGAGATGACACAGGTAGTTTGTAGTAAGACTTTCCTTTTGAGAAAAGTGATCAATGAAACAAGAAAGCCTATTTCAGAAGCCCAAGACCTTGCTGTGTTGGGTTTTGTGTCCGTATTGGTCATAATGGTGAACAACCTCTCCTCAGAAGAATCCATAGGCATATCAGCCTTTTTTTTTTTTTTTTTTTATGATTAGTATTTTTTGGGTCCTCTGCAGATAAGTTATGAAGACATTCTCCTATGTTTTATTCAAGGAGCTTTATTGTTTAAGCTTTTAATTCTGAGATCCATCCCAAATTAATTTTTGTGTTCGGTGTGATGTAGGTATCAAGACTCATTTCCCCCCTTTATTTATTCAGTTTTTCTAGCACCATTTGTTGAAAAGACTTTCCTTTCCCCATTACATAGCTTTGCCAGCTTAGTCAAAAATCAATTAACTTAAATGTATGGGCCTATATCTAGACCCCATATTCTGTAACATCCTTATGCTAACATTATGCTGTCTTTATAGCAATTCCTGGAATCAGCTTTATAGCAAGTTTTGATATCCGGTAGCATGAACCATTAAACTTTGCTCACAATTGTTTTGGCTTTTTTGTAGCCCTTTGGTTTACCATGTAAATTTTAAAATCAACTTATCAAAGTTAAAATGCCTGTGTTGTTGATGATTGCATTGAATCTATAGATCTATATGGGGAGAGTCAACATCATAATAATAATGTGTGTTCTAGTTTACAAACATTGTATATCTCTTGATTTAGGTCATTAATTTTTTTCATGGTGTTTTGTAGTTTTCAGTGCAGAGGTCTTCTATGTCTTTTGTTAAATTAAGTTTTAAGTGTTTAGGTCTTTTGATACTACTGTAAATAGAATTTTTTTTAAGATTTTATTTATTTTGACAGAGAGACAGCAAGAGAGGGAACACAAGCAGGGGGAGTGGGAGAGGGAAAAGCAGGCTTCCCACTGAGCAGAGAGCCTGATGTGGGGCTCGATCCCAGGACCCTAGGATCATGACCTGAGCTGAAGGCAGACACTTAATGACAGCCACCCAGGTGCTCCTGTAAATAGAATTTAATTTTTCTTTGCATCTTCCAATTGTGGCTAGTATATAGAAATACGTATTTTTCTGTATATTGTCCTGTGTCCTTTGACTTTGTTAAATAAGTCTAGTAGTTGTTCTTAGTGTTTCTTAGGTTGTTCTGTGTAAACAATTATGTTTTCTGCAAAATGTTTTTAGTTTTACTTGTTCCTTTCCAGTCTTTATGCTTTTTTCCCCTTACTTTATTGCACCAATTAGAAGCAATATTGAATAGGAAGGTGGGGTGGATATCCTTGCTTTGTTACCAGTTTTGAGGTGGGTGGCATTCACTATTTCACCATTGGCTATTATGCTAGCTGTAGGATTTTGTATGGATTCTTTTGTTAGATTGAAGAAGTTCCTTTCTATTCCTAGTTTTTTGAGAATTTCTAATCCTAAATGAGTGTGGAATTTTGAATTTTTTCTTCAGTTATTAAGATCATAATGCTTTTATCTTTTTTTCTATTAATATGGTGAATTATATTGATTTTTGAATATTGAACCAACTTTACATCTTTGGAATAAATCTGCTGGTCCTGATGTATTGTCCTAATTTTTATTTCATTTGTGTAGTGCTGGATTTGATTAGGTAACATTTTGTTAATGACTTTTAGCATCTATATTCATGAGGGATATAAATCTTTAACCTTATTTTCTTATCTTTGTTAGGTTTTGGTATCATGATTTTATCAGCCTCTTAAAGTGTGATGGGAGGTGTTTCCTCTTTATTTTCTGAATTTGTATAAAATTTGTATCAGTATCCTTAAATGTTTGAATTTATGGGATTGAATTTATTTGATTGATTTATTAATTCACCACTGAAACCATATGGTCCTGAATGTTTCTTTGAGGGAAATTTTTTTGATAAACAATTTAAAAAGTATTGAGCTATTCTGATATTGTATTTTATTCTTATATCTGTTTTGGTAAATTCTGTGTTTCAAGGACTTTGTCCATTTCATGTAAGCTATCAAATTTGTTACAAATTTTCCAAGTATTCCCTTACTATTCTTTTAATGCCTGTAGGATCTGTAGTGATGTACCTTCTTTCATTGGGGTGATACCCCTTCTCATTTTGACATTGATAATTTGTTTTTTAATTTTGCTAGGAATTAATTTTATTAATCTTTTCAAAGAACTAAATTTTGGCTTTTATCTCTGTTTGTAAGTCTTCTGTTCATTGATTTCTGTTATCTTAAAATATCCACCTTACTACTTAACTTTGGGTTTACTTTTTTTTTTGTATCTTTCCTATTTTGGAAACTCACTTGGTTTTAAACCTCTTTTCTCAGGCGTATATAAAATTATTTCTCTCTAAGCACTGCTTTAGCTGCATCCCATAAATTTCAAAGTTGTATTTTCTCAATCATTCAGGTCATATTTTCTAACTTCCATTGTGATTTCTTATTTGATCCAAAGTTTATTTAGAAATAGATTGTTTAATGTTCAAATGTTTGGGAATTTTCTAACCTTATTTTTTCCTTTTGATTCCTAATTCAATTATTTGTGTCCAGAGAATATATTTCATAAGATTTCAATTCTTTGAAATTTATTGAGACTTGTTTTATGGCACAGGATATGGCCTATCTCAGCAAATGTCCTAGGTACACTTGAAAAGAATGCATATCCTGTGGTAGTTAGGTATAGTGTTGTGATTAGCATTAGGTCAAGGCAGTGAGTAGTGTTGTTCAAATCGTCTAAAACTGTACTGATTTCTTATTCAATTTTTCTATCAACTACTGAGAAGAAGGTGCTACCTTTAGCCTGCAATGTCATAAGATTTCTCTCCATCTCCCCACCCTAAATCAAGTCTTTCCTCTCTGGCAGCAAAACTGCTGGACTGGAAGACTGCCATTCTTGCAGACTGAGCTGCATGGGGGTTGGGGGGAGAGTAGACCTGAGCTGTTCTTACCTGAATCTTTAGCAGGTTTTCAATGTGTTGGCCATCTCTGATAGATTTCTAGTGCCCTAAAATGGGTGTTTTTGACAATTTTGTCTAGTCTATCTATCATCTACCTACCTACCTATTAGTGGAGGAGAATTGCTGGCCTCTTCTTTAGAAACCGATTTTATGGTAATATTTTAATATGATGTCTTTAACCTTTATTAAAAATATTGAGAAGAACATTTCTGCATCTTCTCTAAAACCCTTGTTGGTGGTTTTTTAAGTTGTTAATGTTGTTTGTCCAGAATAAGCGGGAAAAACTCCCTTCAGGATGTAGTATAGAAGGCCCCTATGCCCTTTATGACTTACTTGGTTCCTTCATAACATTCACCAGTTGAATCACAAGAAGTTAAACATTTATTTGCTAGAAATGAATATTATAAATTAGAATTTTATTCTTGAAAACTCATTTCATACCATAAAATACCAAGATATCACAAATGTTCTTCAAAATCATACAAGCGTTTGCTTTTACAAACATTATGTAGAATTTCATTCAAGAAATACTTATTGAGAGATTACCATGTGCCAGAGACTGTGCCAGGCACCAGGAATAAAAACAAATGTACTCAGGAGGCACAGCTCCTGCCCTCCCCTCAGAGGTAACAGTCCAACTGGTGAGAGAGATGGTTAGGCAGACAATTACAATCAAGTGTGAAATGGACAATGGCAGAGGAAGTCTGAGTTTTAGGATTGTGCCCAGTATTTGTGTTTGCTCCCACAATTTTTTTTCTGGTCTTTGGAATCCTTGAGGCTTTCGAAATAAAATATCATTAAAGCCTAGACTAAAGACATGTCTCCCATGGTAAGTTTCTGAATGGTAAATACTTGGGGAGGGACAGTTTCCTTGGGAAAGGTTTCTCCTATTCTAAATTTGTGAATGTACATTAGATCACTTGGGAAGCTTTAAAAAAATACCCTTGACTGGATCTGGTGAGGCCCAAGACCCAATTTTTTAAAGTACTCAATGACTTTAGCATGCAACCATGGTTAAGAACTACCATAGCCTTTGTTTCCAGTTTCCTCAACATTTGACACCTGTAATAAAAGAAGCCTCCTTCGGTGGTTTTTGTTAAATTTTCTGGGAAATTCTTCTTCACAATACTTATGGCTTCCTTCTATTGCTCTGGTGTCTTGTAGAAAGTGAGCCCTTAACATCAACACTTGAAGATTCTAAAGAACACGGGGCACTCATTCCTCTCTCTCTCTCTTACTCATCCCCAAGTGAGATGGAGAAATTCATCTGATTGGTTAGCATCTGACACCCACTGAGCCACATTCTGTATAGCAGATGTAGTTACTTTGCTCTACCCATATCCTTTGCTTCTATCCCATAGTGATAATAAAAACAGCTAAATGGTACTTATTGTATGCTTACCATATGGCAGGTGCTGTCCTAAGCCTTTTACATGAATGAATTCATTACATCCTCATACCAACCTGATGATGTATATTCTATGGTTATATCATTTTAGATTTGAGGAAGCTAAAGCTTAAGGAGATAAAGTAACTTGTCTGAGGACACACTGTCATTGGACTGGGATTTCAATCCAGACCACCTGGCTCCAGATCATATTCTCTTAACCTCCATGCTACTCCACTGCTAAGGGGCTAGCCTGGCCTTTGTTCCACAAGTGGTCAGCACAGTTGGAGGCCAGTGGTAAGTGCATATTTGCCGGCAGGCATTCTCCATTCTACTGGTAACTGGGTCTGTAAGCCTCTCTGTGCAGCCTGCTGCATAAAAGTACTCCAAGTCATCTTCAGTAGGTGCAACTCTACTCCCAAGTGGGTACCATGGTCCAGAATTGAGGAGGGGGATGAGGGTTCCCTTGAATCAACATATACTCAGACTTTAAACTGTCTAGGAGTTCTGTACTTAAGGCGTTGGAATCTCTAACAATTTTGTGCTTAAGTTTCTCATCCCAAAGAGATCCTTAACTCACACTACACACTTCTTCCTTGGATTTTACTTTGCCTGTTCTTAAGCATGTTGGGAAGAGGCAATGCCTTTGTTAAGTGGCATAAGGATTCACTATATTATATATGATTATGCATCCATGAAAAAAGTTTTCTACCTTACAAATCAGTTCATTGTGATTGTATATTGCTATTGATTATACTAGTCTAGTCCCAACCAACTACATGGCTTCAGTTGCCATGATCACATGGCTTTAAACATGAGTTTTGTTTATCACCCAAGGTGTTTTATTTTTAAGAGCAAAACACCTAAGGTGTTTTATTTTTAAACTTTATTTTAAAGTTCAGGTGTTTTAACTAAAGCCATTATAAGTAGAAGGTTCCTAGTAACAGAAAAAAAGTTTTCCTCTCCTGGTAAACCTCAATGAACTAACGAGAATTCTGTAATACCTTGTATTTTCCTTTTTGTCTAAATACAAATCTTAGTTTTAGAAGACTGCATAAAGATAAATATTGTTTTAGAAAATTAAGTTTCATGATAGGTTCTTTATTAAAAGCCACTTTAAACACTTTTTCAAAGTAGGTATTGATTTTAACTTTAGTTTATTGCTATATAGCAGGGATGGGCAAACTACAGCTCGTGGGCCAAATCTGGCTGCTGCTAGTTTTTGTAAAGTTTTATTGGAACATAGTCATGTTCCTTCTACATGTTATCCATCGCTACTTTCACCTTATAATGGCAGAATTGAGTAATTGCAACAGAAACTGGCCAGAAAAACCTAAAATAGTTACTATCTGGCTATTTACAGAATAAGTCAGCTGTTGCCTGCTATTATATAGCAACCCCCCCCACCCCCATCTCCTATCCCATCATGCCTAATTTGCTGCTTCTCATTTTGTCTTGGGTTCCTGATTTTTTATTTTACAAGTGAATAACTATTACCTCATTCAGGTTAGCATTTTTATTTTTTTTTAAAGATTTTATTTATTTATTTGACAGAGAAAGAGAGTGAGCAAGAGAGAGCGACAAGCAGAGGGAGCGGGAGAAAGAGAAGCAGACTCCCCCCTGAGCAAGGAGCCCAATGCGGGGCTCGATCCCAGAACCCTGGGATCAGGATCTGAGCCAAAGGCAGATGCTTAACTGACTGAGCCACCCAGGCATCCCCAGGTTAGCATTTTTAGAGGAACAAAACAAAACACAACTGCCTCCTTACTTGTGCAGTACTTTTCTGTGTGTCAGTGATTCTCTGGTGAAAATAATTAATTACCCTGATCACAGTTCTCCTAATACAAGGTAAACCTTTTCAAGTTTATATGATCAAGTATTTTTTCAGCTCAGAAAATCTTTTATTATAACTTTATTTTTATTTGTTTTGGTTCCTATTGCTTTAGGATTGGTGATCCAGAGCTAACCTCTTTCTCATCTCTTTATCCTTCCCAAACCATATTGG